TATTTATTTTCAAGCAACAATGAACATTTATATAAAACAATTTATTTTTGTTTACTAGTATTCATTTCAATTAATATTCCATGAAACTATATAACTTCATGTATATACCACAATACATGTGTAAATACATATGTACTAACATATATGAAATATTTATATGTGTACATTTATTTATTATTTTTATTTATCTAAAGTTATCAAATTCCATAGTTACCTTATATGTTAACTATTTGCAATCAAGGAGCTCTACCACTTGTCACACTTTATACGTATTCGCATATGTATGGGATTTTCTTAGGTCCATATTTAACACAATATAATCCCTCTAGACACACGTAGATATAAACCTGCCTCTTTCACTTGAAGTTTATCTCTAAAAAACGAAATAATGAAAAGAAAATACAAATGCAAGCCATTATAAAACACATTTATATATATATTGTAATTAATAAAAATTTATTTGTGCACATTAAAATTAAAATTGAAAAAAAATAAATACATAGTAACAAAATGTAGACAATAAAGAAGAAGCACTAAACTTACTTCAAAGGTTCAGTTTTCCAATTTTTATGGAAGTGAAGTACGCCGTGCACGTGCCAAACATGCGTGAGAAACGATTGCTCAGTAGCTTTCCCACGAGATGCCGTTCCTTAAACCATCCATCGAATGTACTGGCGATGAACTTAGGCTTTTTGCATACATAAACGTTTTATTTTCGATATCGTTATTATTATAATGTGCGCATTTGAAATAGGGATGAAGCGCAACTCAAAGAACTCACCACTCTCAGATAACAGTAATATCGTTCTATAGAATATATTTCTAAATTGTTTTTATAGAAATCAAATTTCATTCATTTCTTTATAAAATTTATGAAATTATTCAAAATCGATACTTTTACCGAATTAAGACGTAGACATTTTATTTTAAATGTTGTTAAGGATATTAAGGATATATTAGGGATATTTTAAAATATTGCATGAGATCATATGCGTTTCTCTACAATAACGAGATAATAGAAATAATAAAATTTATACAATTGAAACAACATAATTCTTTAAATCACTTAGATGACATATTTCAAAGGTTTAATTTTTAAATAAAATAAATTTATGAAAAATTAAACTTAATTGAAGTTGAATATATACCTATAGTCTGAAAATTAGCTGAACAAAATGCAACTACTCCTTTGTTATTACATCTTTTAAAATAATTTCATTTTTAATTTTTTTATTAATTATTTTATTTTAACTTTAAAATGAATTTTCTTCCTCTATATACATATTACTATTTACTTACATTCATTCTTATGCATACATATACCTAGTACATACAGAACTTGACATATCCTGGATAACGTCAACTATACTCAGAGAGTCTTAATATTAAAATATCATTTGGTCCTGCTTTTACAACACATTCTTGCTCGAGTACTAGTAAAAGTATACGAAAGTATAAAAACACAAAAAATGTTAAAAAAAAAAATATATATTTGGATTAATAAAATCCATCCAAATCGGTGTCATTCCATTCAAAACGTTATAGGTAACGCTGTGAAATTTGTTCTCGATTTAGTTTTTGTTGAATTGTCAACGAACGCGTACCCACTTTCTGAATACTTTCTTTATATGTAATTCTTCTCTTAAAATATAGACTACTCGTACATCTATGGTACCTGATACCATAGACACTCAAAATGTCTATGGTATCAGCAAATTCGCGCTTAGTCAAAATTAGATCTCAAACAAAATCGTAGACTTTCTCAATGATTTCTGGTGTTGTTGCACATTTTGAATGCCCACTACGTGGTTCTAAAACCCATCCCTGCACAGTTGGTAATGAAGGATCAGATTGTTTTAACACATTCACCTTTTTTGTATGAATTTCTGTTGCTGATAAACTTTCTAAAACATAGAACTATATCACTACACGATATTCGGTTTCTTCCATTGTTTCAAAATCACAAACATTTAAATGTGTTCAGATGAAGTATTAAAAATTGGGTATAAACTGCGATTCTTCTACTGGTTAATAGGTTTGCTTTCAAAACATTTCATTCAATTTATATAATATAGTTCAATTTTTTCAGCTGTTGCTTCCAATACTATTTCATCTTTGGTAAATATAGTTGAATGAACATATTATTATGTTAATCAGTTTAGAAGAATCTAGTGAAAAGGATAATAGTACTGGATAGGTTTCAATAAATTAGTTTTTTAAAGCTTTAGTAGCCCCAATGCTTAGTAGCGCAGTCACGATATCGCTAAATATCTTATTGTTAATTATAATGAATCTATAAACTGTTTAAATAGATAAATCTTGCTATAAAAAAGAAAATCGAGACGTGAGTGATATATACGTGAGTGTTTAGAAAACTTAGCTAAACAGAATTTTTATTGATAAATTCCTAATAAAACGGAATTAAACGGAATTGAATTGAATTACTAATGTTTTTAGAGCTGATAACAAATGAATCAGATACCGCAATGCGGTACGTAAAGGACTATGATTATTCTTATACTACCAGAACCATAAACAATATTCTGTTGAATAATTAATGATATTGAAAGGTTCCTGAGAAAACATAATAACTTTAACTTCATCATCTAAATATATTTAATATAACACTAGCCGTATTTTTTTCTTTCAGAGCTGTAAAAAAAACAGCATTAAATCTGGTTGAAACAAATGTCAAATGCTTTTTTTGCATATATTTTTTGGTTGTATTAATTTAAATAATAAAAAGCAGTGTATAATAGAAGGGCTATAGTAACCATTTTTATCTTATTATTTTGATATATTTCTACTCGTATTATTTTAACGAATGAATTTTGCAATTTAATTCAAGCATTCGCAATAAACTGATTTATGAGTTTGGTTGCACTAAAACTTAAGACGCGAAATTTTTTTGAGAGTAAAACCTAACTCTGAATATTTTAAGAGCATTGTTGTTGCTTCACATGTTTTTTTCGTAAGTGAGTATATTTTTGTAACTCTGAATGAAAAAAATTCGGCTACTGAACAAAAACACTAAGCAACAAAAAAGACTTTGTTAATCTATCTAGTTAAGCCGAAATATTACATATATAGTTCTTTGGAAATTTACAAGAAACTGATATATCAATTATATAATCCAGATTAATTAAAATACATCTACTATTTTTCGATCTTCAGAATTTTCTTAATGATAAAAAATTATAGTTTATGAAAAGAAACCTAAATTTCCAGTCAACATTTTTGACCCAAAAGTCCTATCACGCCAAAAGTCCAAACAGAATATAAAGAGTTATCCAAAAACTTGTTAATTTAATTAATTTCATAAAATTCTTTACAAATCTGAACTTTTTAATTTTAACTTTTATCTACAAAATATATTTTCAGCTATTATGTTTATGGTAGTATTAACATATGTAATATTGATATAACTATTATACTGACAGCCCCCAAAGTGTACTGGAACTCACGATATTTAAGAAATTATGTAAATTAATATGTAACAGTGAATTTTTTTTTTATTATATTGAACGAAACTACTTAAATTTTTACAACATTAAATAAATTATAGTAAATTCAATCTTTTATTTTATATTTTGATGTATATAAATGATTCTCACTTATTTGAAATAAAATTTATTATAAAAACAATGCATTGATTTTATGTGCAACTAATAAGAAATAAAATATTGATAATATTATTAGAATGATATTACTTTAAAAATCTTTTTTGTAAAATTTTTATACTTTGAACTTTATTTTACAAGTTCCAAAATCACACAATATACATTATTGTCATAAATTCCTAGAAAGCTCTCTTATTATATTAAAATGGATTTTTAAAAATATTGAGATCAATTAAAAAAAATCAGTTTTCAAGAAAAATATTGTGTTTATCAATTAGCCCAGTTCTTATAAAAATTAGATATGGGAGAAACTCTTGAAGTTTATTTAAAGGAATCCTTACAAGGCACACCTGTTACCTATTTAAGTATATGCATGTCAACATATTTTGATTAGACCAACGTTCTAACACAATCGGCTCGTGCTAACCTTCAAAATTATGCAACGACCTTCAAAAATTGGGTCACAAACATTCGCCAATGCACTTGTTGGGGCCGCACACGACCGACAACAGTTCCTTCAAGTCCAAGTCGCGTGCTGCTCCATTATTTGTGAAGAAACATGGCAAACTCGTGACCGTTAGCAGGAGGCAAACAATTCCAATCAAAAACAAATAAACCTGATTGCCAAAAGTGCGACAAATTCAAAAGAAGTTATCAGTTGCAGCATCTGCAGTAACATCGACGTCTGCATCGTCGCCATTGGCAATACTAATATATAATTGTGGTTGATTCATCAATGAGAAACAGCTAAATGACACAATAATAAAAGCAATAAAAGGACTTAACATTTGATAACTACATAACTACATATATTACTTGACATTTATATTAACCATAAGTTGAGACTCTGCACTCTCCTGCCACATACTATAGCACTACATCTGTTGTGAGAGAACAATGTTGATCATAATATATGCTGCCACCTTTTGCTTGCAGGTACAAAGGATGTGTTAATATAATATCCTATTGGAAAACTCTGTAATGGACAAGTTGAGAGAACATAAATAATTTAAGGGTTGTTGGGTAGTGCTTATCTTATTGGTACACGGATGTTTACAAAACTTATTGACAGGGGTGCAGGACACATTGCACAGTGCGTAGTGCAGCGGCACATGTACGTCGTACGTTGGTCATGCGAGTTAGAATCAGTTGAACGTCGTTCGCACACACGATAAGTCACGTGCTCAAAACTAGCTCCGGTAGTTTCCGAAAACTAAAACTACACTACTCTCTAAATTCTAAACTTAACAATTTTTTAAAAAAAAAAAAGTGTGCAAATAACAATAACATATATTGAAAGTGTTATTAAAATATCAACAATTATTTAAAAATTTATAAAAATATTAACAACAATTATAAAATATTAATATAAAATTAAAAATGGAACACAATATGCACAATAATACTCCATTGCATTGGGGCTACGGTTCGGCAGCTGTACCAACTACGCCGCAAAATCATTGGGTGCCACCACCACAAACTCATTCTCTGAAGCGTGCAATGTCTGAAAGTGATTGTGAAGAATTATTCTCTGAAGAATCGTCCAAAGAACAGTGCGTATTTTTAGCAACAAAAATTTTAAGAATATAATTTTTTTTTAAATTAAATACAATATTATACATACATTGCATTATAACATTATTTATAAAATAATAAAATAATTATATTATTTATATAATTATATAAAATAAAATTTTATTGATAAAATAATATGTTATATATAATTTTTTATAATAATTATATATAATATATTAACTATATGTAAAAAAAATTATATTCTTATACAATTTTAAAATATTTAATTAAATTAAATTTTTTTGAAAAATTTACTCAATGATTTTATTTTAATAAACTAGAATTTCACCCAGTGAGCCCGGTAGTTGTCAACTAATGAGTCGCAAGAAGAGACGTGGTGTTATTGAGAAGAAACGACGTGATCGTATAAATTCTTCATTATCAGAACTTAAGCGTCTAGTACCTTCTGCTTATGAAAAACAAGGTTCAGCTAAATTGGAGAAAGCGGAAATTCTACAACTCACTGTAGAGCATCTAAAAAATTTGCAATCGAAAGGTAATTTCATAAAAGAACCTGACTAAATATTAAATTTATACAAAAATATATACAGAAATATAGAGTGAGTTTAGTGAGTACAAGTCTATTAAGAAAGTGTCTATAATTTTTTCTTAAAGTAGAGAGACTATTCAGTATACAACTTCGAAAATAAATTTAAACCAAAAACTTTAAAATAAAATAGGAAAAAGTGATTAATAATATTTTTTCAAGTGGCAATTTTATTTAAATAAATTTAACAATAATAATTACATGAAAATATATAAGTTTTCAACTTAACCAATACGTTCAAAATAAATTCCATTATCTAAAAAGAA